AGATTCTTTGTAATTTGCAACTGGAGCAGCTCAACTCCCTCCTTCTCCCTGATTTTTTTTTTTTAAGTGGGCAGCATAATGTTAGTGACTATTTTCCTGTCCATTCTGCTTGAAGAATACCATTCAAACAAGGTCTGATTTATTTATGAAGTTTAACATACATTTACCATTAATTGAAACTGCATGTTCTTTCTCCATTTTGAACCCGCAGCTTTTTTATTATTCACGAAAACCTTCAGTCTCTGTACACACTTGTCAAATCAAAAGCACACATCATCTCCCTCAAATCTAAATGCTCACCCTCCCATTAGTCCCATCCATTTGTGCCCTTTCCTTTGCAAATTCTCTACGCTGTTCCTCGCTGCCAGCAATACAAATTAAACTAATGCTGCATACGATCACTGATTGTACGTATTAGGCTGACAGACTTCTCCACAGACAAATGCAGCTGACTTTAAATCCACTTGCCTTTGAGCAGATTTCGTGTAAACTTGTGGCGATGGCTTTTGCGGGTGTGTCACATCGAAACACATGACATTTCAGAATTCTTGTGTCTTTGTCTCTTGCCACATAAGCAAAGTCTCTGTGCAAACAAAATGAAGTGACACATTAGAAACAAGCAAGATGAATTAAGGCATTAGAAACAATAGCATCTCCAAAACAGCAAGTCTTACTTCAGTTGAACAGGCATATGTCTCAGCTCTCAGAAAATAAAACACATGCCTTAGATAAAGCAGATCTACAAATGCAATAAATTGCACACCCATGAAATACACATGTAAGGTTTGGCGCTTCATCTATACAATTAAAGAGCTCATTAGTGTTTCCTAACACTGGCAGCTTATTGAACTTACAACCTGTAATTCCAACTGCAATTGTAAATACATGGGAGAATTTACTCAAATATTTCATTGCAGACAAAGCAGGGAGAGAATTACAGATTGAGACAGAAAACACATGCAGCTCTTAAATGCTAAGAAAATCTGAGAAACAGCACACAATATTCTAGTTAGAGAAAAATCTCAAAGGACTGTATAAAATGTTTAAAATATGCAGATAGTAATTAGTGATCTGGTTGCATAAGGGAGATGTGAACCTGCTGAGCTCTGCTCACACTAATTGGCCTAAATTTCTGGCCTTATTTTTTCAAAAGTTAAATAAAGCTGCCCTACAAAGGAGATTTTTGCACCATACAGGCTAGTCACCACAGCACAGTCTAGCTTTCTAGCATGGGTGATGGACATGTCAGGATTATGTTTATTTGTTCTCTGGCTGTTTAAGACTTCAAGCTCTTCTGGAAAAGTTGAAGCGGGAGCATGGTGTAAAGAAAGCATCAGGGTTTGGATACAACCCAATTTTGGGGCTACCAAGTGTTGTGGTTTAACCCCAGCTGGTAACTAAGCATCACGCGGCCGCTTGCTCACCCCTCCCACATCAAGGGGATAGGAAGGAGAATGGAAAAAAACTCGTGGGTTGAGAAAAAGACAGTTTAACGGGATAACAAAGGAATAGCACAATAATAACAACAGTAATAATAAAAGCTCAAGTGATGCACAAATGTTATTGCTCACCACATGCAGAAGGAAAAAACCC